GCTATCATTGAACTGGCAAGACTACATGCCAGAACTGGAGGAAAGGAGAGGGATCTAGGACCAGCCAAGAGCTCAGAGAAGGAAGCCGCCAAAGCTAGCGGAAAGGCAGTCTGAGATTAGCAACAGTCCAACCAAGGAAATATACAGGTATGAGAATGAGAATAAATAAAACAATAAAGATAGCCACTGTTACAGATTCCTTAAAAATCTTAATACAGACTTTATCATATGATCCAACATTCCCACTCCTGGGCATATTATATTACCTGGAGAAAACTCCCAATTTGAAAAGATACATGCACCCTGATGTTCACAGCATCACAATTTACAACAGCCAAAACACGGAAACAACCTATACGTCCACTGACAGATGAATGGATAATGATGTGGTACACACACACACACACACATACACACACACACAATGGAATACTACTCAGCCATGAAAATGAAATAATGCCATTTGTAGCAACATGGATGAACCTAGAGATTATCATACTAAGTGAAGTTAAGTCAGACAGAGGAAGACAAATATCATATGGTATCAATTATATGTGGAATCTAAAAAAATGAGACAAATGAACTTATTTACACAAAGAAACAGACTCACAGACATAGAAAACAAACTCATGGTTATCAGGGGAAAAAGGGATGGAAGAATAAATTAGGAGTTTGGGATTAAGAGATACAAACTACTATGTACACAATAGATAAACAACAAGGTCCTACTGTACAGCACAGGGAACTATATTCAATAGTTTATATAATAGAAAAGAATCTGAAAAATATACAATACATGCATCTATATATACCGAATCACTATGCTGTACACCAGAAACTAACACGATTGCAAATCAACTATACTTCAATTAAAAAAAGAGAAATGAAACAGCTCAGACCAAGAAAATAAAGAGAAAAGAAAAAGAAAAAATAGCCACTGCTAAATCTATGTTAAATATTCCACATACATCATCATTTAATGATCACTACACCTGGCTGACCTTCCTGAAAGCCACAAAGTAAATACATGGCACGGCTGGCATTCTCAAGACAGTTCTCAAATTCTACAAACCCTGCTTCTGGCCCTATGCTCTATCACTGGTGTGCAAAATAAATCTGAAGAGTGAGAAGACACAGACAGAGGTGGATTCAGCTTTGGGCAAGTTATCCAGAACCACATGAAACACAGGCAGAGAAGAGGAAAACATTACAGAAGCAAGGATGTGCCTACACAGAAGCTCAGACAAAATTCAGCCAAAGGGCTAGACACCGCTTCAGTAGTCACTTTCTCCTTGTTTCATGTGGCCACTCAGAATTTTAAAGGCTTTGTGAGCAGCTATTTAGATAAAGCTAAGTAGGTCTTGGCCTATTTACTGCTGATATGCTTTGAATAAGAATAAAAGCTAAATGATGTTCAACGGAATTTTATACACACACACACACACACACCAGATCTAGATCTGTCTTATCACACATTTTTTCACACATTTCTTATTAAACAGGTATTTTAGAAAATCCCTGTAGATGAAACCTTTCAGAATGCTTCTTATGCCACACATATATTCGTTATTTCACTAATAGCTAAAATGAGAAACTCTGTAGAATCAAAACTTCATAAATTATGTAGTATTCTTCCTGTTTCATGATACGTCTCCTTTCATTGTCAATAACCTTCATGATTTGTTCTGGCACCAACAATGTTAGGGATTTCCTGCTAGGCTTCCGGCGTTTATTCAATGGGACCCAAAAATACAAGTAAAATTGTATTCACCACAAAAAGAAAAGGCTGGTTCCAGACGGGAAATTTTTTCCTTATCCTCATCAAGTGTGTTTATATTGCTCTGTGCATATGACAGCATTTTGGACATTAAATGATACCAATATTATTCAGTGTGTTGAATAACACAAAGAATTTAAGAAGGATTGTTTTCTAAAAAGAACAAGGCTTTGTTTGTAAAGAAAGCTGACTATGAAAGAGTGGGGAAATCAAGTAATGCACAAGATTCTTTTTGATACGCTGTTAATTTGTCAGGGATGAAATGATTTCATGAAAATTAACATTAGACTGCTGACACACCTCATCCAAGTAAAAGGGGCTCTTTCTTTAAGCAAATCTACAACACAATTTACTGT